CCTTTTTTTCCAGTGGGTGTTTTCTGGCTTTCTTTGCATTCACTGAGCGGCTCCCTGCCCTGCGTGGCTTGGTCTGGGAAGGACCTGTTGGGGCTCCTGCACAGGGACTCAGCCCGGACAAAGCTGCACCGGGGCCCTTGGTGGGGTGCAGCCCCTGCAGCTGCTGTCCCGCGTGAAGGCTGTGTTGCAGGGCTGCTCCCGGCCCCCTCCTCCCACTTCCTTACCCCTGTGAGGACCGCAGAGATAACAGAGCTGCCGAGATAGCAGAGCCTGCACAGCTCCCGGCCGCGACGCTCAGCCCCCCGGCAGCAGCACCTCCAGCTCCACGGGGCGGCTGCAGAGGGACGATCCGAACCTCTCCATCTCTGCGCCCCTCCGCCGGGCCACCAATGCTCCACCGGATCCAAACTCTCCCCGGCCGCAAGCCTCTCAACCACAGGCAGTTTCAGCGCTTTATTGTCTGTCCTGCTACAGTGACCCGCTGTCCTCCAGCGGGGGGGAAGGAGGGGGGGGAGGGAAGGGGGCCGCCCGCACGCCCCGCAGTGTCCCGGAGCTGCAGCGGGCTCAGAACTGGCACTTAAGGAATCCCGGCCGGGGCCGCACGCAGCTCCTCCGCCCCGCGCCGGGCATGGCTGTGGTCCGCTCCCGCTGTCCTCGGGGTTGGCAGAGGGGCACGGGCTGCTGTAGGCTTGAAAAAGGTGTTTAAATATCACGGAGCGTGGTGTCCGACCGGAGGTTCTTGGCTTTGTGGTTTGCTGTTGTTGTTTGTGTTTTCTTTGCTTGTTTGTTTGTTGTTGTTTTTTTTTTTTTAATAGGTTTTTTTGTTGTTGTTTTGTTTCGTTTTTTAGAAAAGAAAAAAGAAAAAAAAAAAAAAACAGTGAAAAAAAGATCGCCTTCCCTTTTATGAGCAGTTCTCAATTTTGGCCAGGAATTGCTGCGCCCACCACTCCTCCAGGTCAATGGGAACAAAGTCTGAAAGAGAGGGGAGGGAGAGAAGGGAGAGCAGCTGGAGAGGAGCACAGCGTGTTCCCAGCAGCACCGTCCATTTACCACCGGGAAAAAAAAACCCTCTGACCCCCATCCTCCCCAGCTCCCTGCCCCAGGGAATGGCTTATGGGCATTTGCTCTTCTTGGGGACGTTCTCACTGCCCAGCCCAACACCTGGCCCCCTTCACATCCTGCCGTGCCTTCATCCTGTGCGCCCAAGGCAGCGAGGAGCAGAACCCCACAGCAGAACCAGGGATGTTGATACGACCCCACAGCCAGACCCCGCACCACACAGTGCTGGGCCAACCCACCCAGCCCAGGAGCACTGACACCCCATGTCCCACCAGCCTGGGCTCTCCTGCAGAGCCTGTGGGACCCCCCCCCCAATACAGCACCCCACCCCCAGCTGGAGACAGCCCTGCCATGGGCTCCCCCAGCTCCTGCTCCCCCCTCTCTCCCCCCCCACACTCCCCACTCACTTTTCAGCCGGGGGTTCGGGGTTTTCTCTACGTACTGCACAGGCCCACGGGCGCTCTCCCCCCTCTGCCCCCCGTCCAGTTGCTGCTCCACCTCCTGCCAGGCTGTGGATGGAGGGCTGTGGATGAACCCCAGGGCAGGCAGCACCCTGCAGCCCCCTCCTCCCCCCTTCCTGAGCCCCTCACACCTTCGTAGATGAAGCGGACGTTCTCCTCGTGTGCAGCTGTGTAGCTCTCCTCAGGCACAGAGGTGTGTGGCAGCAGAACCTGTGGCCGTTTGCCGTTCACTCTGTTGAAGATGAGCTTCTGGACTGGGCTGGGGAAAGCAGGAATTAAGGGGAGAAGGGCAACTTGGGGGCACACAAGGAGCATCGCATCCCTGACATCCTGTGTGCGCCACACAGCCCTTCTGTGCCACCAGCCTGGCACTGTCCTATCATAGCCACCCTACTCCAGCAGAGGGGAAGGATGGACCAGTGGACACAGCTGTCTGCCAGGTTGCCCCCAAGGAGGCCACCACACTGGGCAGTCCCCAGCCCCTACAGCCAAGCAAAGACACGTACTTTCCAGACTCCACATCTGCTCTGGATGGAGGCAGCAGGAAGACAGCCCAAAAATAACAGGGAAAAAAGCAGATCAGGGTGCACAGTGCTCTGCCCTCCCCACCTCGCACTGCGGGCTGCCCAGCTGGGGACACAGCAGCTGTCACAGCTGCTACATGGGAACCCCACAGCTGCTGCTGCTCTGCACAGCTCTGAGCCAGTGTGCTGCAGGTGCACAGCTCTGCCCAACACAAGGGAAACTGAGGCACGGGGGTGGGACACGGGCCGGGTGCACAAGCAATGCCTGAGCTGTGGGGTAACACGAAAGCAATGCGACGGAAGCAACAGAGGACAGCTGTGCACCAGGGGAGCAGCTCAGGGGCTGCCTCATCCCAACACCCCTCCAGGAAAGCTGCTGCCCAAAAGGCATGCAGGGCAGCAGGACGAAGTGAAACCATTGGCATGGAACAGGATCCATGTGAAGGGTCAGCACGGAGCCCCGGGCACAGCTGTGGAGCAGGAGGAGTCCGGGAGTCACACCGCTCACAGGACAAAGTCTGAAAGGCCCCGGGAGAACGGGGGAGAGGTGTGCGGGGCCAGGCGGTGACCCCTGAGCCCCCAGCCCCACGCTGCTACCACAGCTGCCCTGAGGGGGGGGGATGCTCCAGCTGATGTGCGAGGTGTGGGGCAGGGGAGGCATTTCTTGGTTGCTCCCTGAAGGCAGAGGAAAGGGGTCAAAGCTGTCCCTTGTCCACGGACTTTTGGGATCGGGGACAGGGAGCATCGCAGCGCAGGGACACGGCCCCCTCCCCCCGCTTCCGGGACCCCCGGACTTCACCCCTTTTGGCCCCTCGGACTGTGCATGGGGGGGGGGGGGGGGGGGGGGGAGGGAGATACAGCGCCGAGCAGAGGGGCTCCGGGCACAGCGCAGCGATACGGGCTGACACGGGGAGAACTCCGCGATGCGGCCCCACCGCCGCCCCTGAACTTTTGCGGCGGTTGCACAACTTCAAGGGTGGGGGCGGGGGGGGGGGGGGGGGGGGGGTGCGGCCCTCGGGGAGCGCACGGACACGGGCACACGGACACATGGACGTACGGACACACGGACATACGGGGCTCCGCGCAGCCCTCGGGGCCCTGCAGGGCGCACAGCTGCGCTGCGGGACTGCGCCCGCAGGGCTCCGCACGGGGCCTGGACGGGGGGGGTTGAGGGGGGGCATAGCAATAGGGCCACCCCAGCCGCCCCCCTCCGGACTCCTCGGCGGACTCAGAGCGGTGGTTGCGGTGCCAGTCCCCTCCCCGGGGCCCTCCCCGGAGCCGCGCGGCCGCGGTCACCTTTCCCCAAGGTCACGGCGCGGCGCGGGGCTCACCTGGCGGGGGGCCAGGCTCCGGGCTGCAGCCGGCCCCGCGGCTCGCCCACCTTGCTCTCCACCGGCTGCTGCGTAGGACCTGCAGGGGGGGTTGAGGGGAGGTTGCAGGAGTCAGGGCCGGGAGGAGCGGAGCGGAGCGTGCGCCCCGCGGTGCTGCTCCCCCCCGACCCCCCCCCTCCCACCCGACACTCGGTACCTGTGCGGCGCTGCGTGGCCAGCTTGCTGGGGCCGCGCGTCAGCGTGTACATCGTGCGGCCCCTCCGGCACCGCACGGCACGGCCCCGCCGCTCCCGCCGGCCGAGTGCACCCCGCGCCCCGTGCCGGGCCTTTAACGGGCCGGGCCGGGCCCGCGGCACGCCCCCGGCCTTAAAGGGACCGCGCCGCTCTCGTGGGGGAGAACGCATGGAAGGGGAGAGAAGCGTGGGGATCGTTAACGCGTGGGATGCGGGGTTGTGGGGTTTGCGGGGCAACCCTCTGCCCCTCGTGGGACGCGGTGTCACATGGGGTGTGTAGGACGTAGTGCGGGACAGAGGGCGCGCGGCCATGGTGACACGTGGGGCGATGTGTAGGACGGAGGAGGGCGCAGAAACGGGCTTGTGACAGGCGGGAGCTTTGCTCGAGATGAGCACGCAGGAGCCGGGTGACACGCAGAGGGCACACGAGGGACGCACAGCGCCGTGCCGGGGGGCACAGCTGGAGGTGCCGGGGCACGGCAAAGCCGGGGCGCTGCACCGCGTGTTGCGGGGCTGCGGAGGGGCCAGCATCCCTCATTCCGCTTCGGGGGACGCTCAAGGAGGTCTTCCGTTCGGGAAAGGACCGTAGCGGTCCCCGAGCGGCGGTGGCGGCGGCAACGCGCCCCGAACGGCACCGGGCGGTCCCGCGCGTTGTGACCTTCGGACGAGGCGGTGCGCGGAGGTCCGCACGTGGCCAGGAATGCGGCGCCTGACGGGCAGTGCCGGCGGATCCGCGCACAGCCCCGCTCCTCCGGCTGCGGTGGGGCCGAGCTTCAGTGTGACCGTGACCCTGCAGCCGTCTCCTCTCAGGTGGCCGTGCCTCAGTTTCCCCACACGAGATGTGGCAGAAATGCTACAAAGGGAGGGCAGGGATGCTCAGCAGCAGCGCCGCTGGTGTAGTGGTATCATGCAAGATTCCCATTCTTGCGACCCGGGTTCGATTCCCGGGCGGCGCACAGCTTTTTTTTTTAACTTTTTAAACTATATTTCCTTTCTTTTTTATTTTTTCTTTTCCTTTTTCAATTTTTCACTTTTTATTTTTCTTTTTTTATTAATTCTTTTTTAAATTTCTATTCCTTTTCTTTTTTCTTTTTTTTTTTTCTTTTTTCTTTTTTCTTTTTTTTCTTTTTTCTTTTTTCTTTTTTCTTTTCTTTTTTTTTTTAAAGCAAATCGCTGCTTTTCGCCCCATTCTGAGCCCTGGGCCCGGCGGCTCTCACGACGAAGAGGCGGCACCCCGGTCCTGGCGCGGCTGCGGTAACGCTGCGCTGTGCCTCCGCCCCGCTCGCCCGACCACGGGGCAGTGATAGAACGAGGGGGAATGGCTTTAAAGTAAAAGAAGAGAGATTCAGATGGGATGTAAGGTGGGAATTTTTTACTCAGAGGGTGGAGAGGTGCCGGCACCACTGCACAGAGCATCTGTGGAGGGGACATCTGTCACGGATGGACCCTGGGCAGCCTGAGCTGGGGAGGGAACAGTGGCATGGAATCAGGTGGGTTGTGAAGGCCCTTCCAACCCAAACCGTTCTGGGATTCTGATTCTGGGATTCTGCCCCTTGCTGCAAACCAGATAGCCAAATTACCTGGGTTCTCCACTTAGATACTTTTATTAAAAAAAAAAACAAAAATCCAAATCCACAGTATTCCACTCTCACATAGCGCCACATCGCTCTGCTGCGGAACGACTGTCAGCACTGCAGCACCCATCGAATGGCAGAGCAGAGGCTGCCCTCTCACTAACAGCACATGTGCAAAGGCAGTGCTGCTCCATGGGATGCGCAGTGCAGCCCAGCACCATTCCCTGCTCCCAGCCCTACATCTTGCCCTGCTCCCAGCCCAGCACCATGCCCTGCTCCCAGCCCTACATCTTGCCCTGCTCCCCTCCCGGCTGCTGCACGATGTGCTCAGGCCAAGTTGCACCCAGATGTCCATTCCAGGGATTGCAGCACTGAGCTGGAAGGGATCAGTTTCCATTGATGAAACAAAAATAAACGCGGGCTCTTAAGTGAGGAGGAATTCCTCACCAAGAAATATTGCCCTTGGAGCAGCCTGGTGCAGAGGGGCAGAAATAGCTGCCCGTGGTGAGGCACAGCCGCGTCCTTCCTCATCACCACGACAGGAGCCCCGCCATAAAAGTCATCCCTGGGCTGGGGCAGAGGTTCAGTGTGCAGGCTGAGGGCCCTCTCCGTATCCCCATATTTGGGGCTGAGGATCCTGAAGCCCGCTGGGACAGGGCTGGGGGTGCCCTGTGCAATGCTGAGCTGCCATCCCTCCATGGTGGTGTTGCAAGCACAGCCTTATTATGAGACATCAGAGATCCCACCTGGGAGATGCTGCTGGCAGCTGAGGCTCTGGGTGTGGGAGCATTCCCTGCCTGGGGCTGATGTGGGGCTGTTCCCCAAGCAGGGACTGTGCAATGGAAAAAGGTGGGCACAAGTGGGGAGGGATCAGCATTACGGGGCGTGCCGTGAGCCCTGCATAGGGTCTGCTTTGGCCATGTGCCCCAGAACCAGAAAGGGTGCCGTGGGCTGGGGAGCAGCACTCCTGCATCACCCCCAAAGCACTGTGGAGGAGCAGGGCACAGAGGAGAGGTTCCCCTCAGGGGCTGTGGCCCTTCTTGCTTGGCCCCTGTGCAACAGGGATGGGGAGAGGGACTGGGGGGCAGCAGGCAGCCATGGCTTGGACTGCAGCTCTGGCTTCATGTCCTGGCAGCTGTAGACTGAGGAAGGCCACATCTCCCCTCAGAGCTGTGTGGGCTTCAATCGAGGCGGGAGCCTCAAGGGAGGGGGGGGGACATGGGGACCTGTGAGTCTGAGCAGCCTGCCTGGAGCTGCTGGCGGCCCTGTCCGTCCATCCTTCCAACCCCACATGCACTGCCCATCCTACACACACTGCCCACAGCATGCAGTTGAGAAGAGTCCTAAAGTGGAGGATGAGGGCAGCTCTGGGAGACAGGGCAGCACTAGGGAGCCCTGAGGATGAAGCTTCTGCCTGCACATCTGTCCATCCACCCATCTGTCTGTCCATCCATCTATCTGACCAGCCCCCCTCTCCCCTGCAGCAACCCTGCTGGTGGTCTGTGGGTCGCAGTGCTGCTGCAACAGCTGGTGGAAACCAGAGAGACGGTGGGTGCTGGGCTCCAGGAGGCGCTCCTCGTGCTGGCAATGCTCCCCCAAGCCTGCAGGTGCTTTCAGGCTGACACGCTGGCCAACACCAAGAGCCTCATCTTCCTCAGGCTGTGACACACCACGCCTCGTGGCCAGGGGGCACGGCATGTCACACCACGCAGGAAAGGAGCAGTGTCACACATGCAGTGCTGCACCCACAGTGCCTGGGTGATGGTTTGGGGTCCATCAGAACCAGGTGATGCTGAGGGCTTCAGTGCTGTGGGATGGGTATCACGGGGTGGGGAGGTCTGGGCAGACTCCTCTGCAACCCCACCCGGCTCTTTATTGCTGCAGTCTGGGCTGGGGGTACACAGGGTGGCAGTTACAGGGATGGAGCTGCAGAATGGTGATCGTTGCTCAGTAAAAGCTGTGGGTTCAAACGGGTCCCCCTGGGCTCTGCAGGCCGTGTCCACACGGCCCGGCCCTAATCCTGGAAGCGGTTGAGGAGGTCGCAGGTTTTCTTCTCCATCAGCTCGTAGATTTTCTTCACCCTCTTGTCGTTGGCAGCCCGCACGTAGCTGCCAGGATCCAGCGTGGCCATGCCGTCGTGCACGGCGCCCATGATGATGAGCGGCCCGTCCTCGGCCGTCATGTTGGGGCAGGGGCAGCTCCAGTCCATGTCGATCAGCGTCACCTCCAGGTACTTGATATTGAAGAACTTGAGGCCCATCTTCTCGTCCTTGAGGACGTCCTCGAGGGCGAAGCGGGCGATGCCGGAATCCTGGTCCTCCACGATCTCCATCAGCCGCCCCACGATGGCGAAGTCGCTGCGGCAGAGGCTCAGCACCATCTTGCTCTTCAGGCGGCACGCCTTGCACTGCAGGCTCTTGGGGAAGGGGCACACGTCCTCGCACGTCTCCTTGCTGTCGAAGTTGTTGTTGTTGCCCTCGCAGCCGCCGTAGACGAAGGAGTGGCACTGCTTGAGGATGTAGTTGTAAGCCCAGCGCGGCTCCCAGTTCTGGCAGGGTCCCTGCACCATGGGCAGCAGGCAGGTGGGCCGGGCGCTGCCCACGCAGGCGGCGCGGCACTCCTCGTACGTCTCAAAGTGGTTCCTGTTGGCCCCGCAGCCGCCGTAGCGGAAGGTGACGCAGGAGCCCTGCTTGGCATCGAAGTGCCAGCGCACCTCCATGGCCTCACAGCGCCGCCGGTCCGGCTCCTTCAGGCACTCGGCGCTGGGGAAGGGCTGGGGGCTGCCGGGCCGCGGGGCCGCCCCGGGTTCACGCTTCAGCACCGACAGCGGGAAGTCGGCGCGCAGCAGCCCCGCGGCGTTGCGGGCCGTGCAGGTGTAGATGCCGGCGTCCTCGTGGCGCGCGTTGTAGATGACCAGCTGCCCGATGTTGGTGACCACCACGTTGCCGTACATCTGGTCCGGCCGCATGATGAAGTTCTCGGCGCGCTCGCTCTGCTTCTCCCAGGTGATGTCGGGCCGCGGGCGGCCGCTGACGTCGCAGCGGAAGCTGACGGTGCCACCGGCGCGGACCGACTGGTGGAAGGGGTTGCTGTACAGCGCCGGAGGAACCGGCGGCTCGGGGCCCGCTCCTGGGGTGGGCCGGGCAGTGGTCTCGCGCGGCACAGGGCTGGTGTCGGGCCAGGTGAAGATGTGCTTGCACGGCACGGTGGTGAGGCGCGTGCCACGCAGGCAGGCCTCAGCGTCCATGTAGCACTTGTTGTAGTAGGTGAGGCCGTCGGAGGCGCAGGTGAAGTTGGGCTCCTTCTCGCAGCGGTCCTTGCACTTGCAGACCGGCTGCCCGTCCCAGATGTCGCAGTCGGAGCCCTGCTGGGCGCACACGAAGCTCTCGCAGGACGGCCCGCGGCCCAGCTCCAGTGCCAGCAGGCTGCCGTCGGCAAAGCGCGCGGCCACGCAGCTGCGCAGCCCGCACACGTTGGTGCAGCACTTCTCAAAGCCCTCGCAGTCCTGGCCGGGAGGGGACGGCGGTCAGCACCCCAAGACCAGCCCTCATGCTAATCCCGGTGCCGATCCCAACACCAACCCTAACCCTGACCTGGATGCTCCCAGCCACACGGAGCTCCCTCCCAGCCTCCCACCATTTCCAGGCTGACTCAGCGCTCAGCTCCACCTCAGCCCTGCTGACGGGTGGGAGTGAAGAGCAGCAGTGATGGCCCCCACGGCACAGTGGTACAGGGCTTTGGGCTTCCACAGGTGCCCAGCCTGGATGTGGGCCATTCCTGCTGTTGTGGCTGTGCTGCGCTGTGGCCCGGGGGCTGCGGGCTCCAACGGGTTGAGGTCAGGTAGAACTCATTACAGCGATGAGCTGCAGAGGAGTTGCTCCCTGAAGATGGGCAGCATTGTGCTTCTGCACAGGGAAAATTGAGTGGCCAGGGGGAGCAGCCCCAGCATGCCAGCATCCCTCAGTAACTGGGTGGGAGCATACTGGGGGTGTGTGATGGGGGTGTTCCAGCCAGGGCTGATGCAGCAGGGATGCAAGCTGAACCTCTGCCTGTAGAGGTGCTTGAAGCACTTGGGGCTCTGCGCACTCCTGGGGTGAGGATGCAGAGAGGCTGAGTTTGCTGGGCACTGCAGCCACTGCCAGTGGGACCCCCATCCCAACGCAGCCCAGAGCATCCCTCTGCTCACCACCCCCTTTCACCCCCCCCCACGGGTGCAGCACCCAAACCCATCCCAGCCATGCCCCTGACTCCCCATAGCTCCCAGTGCTCACCTGGTCTGCCTGGCACTCCCTCTCGCAGGTGCTCTGAGCATCCACCCACAGGTTGGGGTTCAGCTGGTTGGGGCACACCCCCAGGTGCCGCATCCTGGCCTGCTGTAGGCTCAGCCCGGCGGCGGCTGCCAGCAAGGGCAGCAGCAGGAGCAGAGCCGAGCGCATGGGCTCAGCCCCACCGAGCTGCTGCCCGCCAGGACGTGACCGCGGTCCTGGGCGGTCGAAACTCCTGCGAGGCATCTGTGTGCCCCCCCCCCGCCTTGCCACCAGGCTCGGGGCTGATCACATTGGACGGTGGGAAGGAGACCGAAAGGAAAGTCGGAAGACGGAAAGGAGGAGGACGAGGTGATGTCCAGACCGCTGCGGTTCAGCACGCCGGGTGCACGCTGTCTATCCGGAGATGCCGACCCACACCTCGGTCCATCGCTGAGCTCTCAGGGCACCGGGCACGGCGTCGTGTCGCAGCGGCGGCTCCCGGCAGCGCCTCGGCCGCTGCGATGTCCCCGTGCCGGGGGGGCTCAGCGCATCCCTGGCACCCGCAGCCGGGCAGCGCTCGCCGTGCAGTGGCAGCGGGTCCGGGCGCTGCGTGCGTGTGGGGCAGGGTTGGAAGGGGAGGACGGGAAGGTTGTAATCTGAATCCCCTCCCTTCTCACTGATGTTTCTGGGTGTTTGGAATGGAAAAGGCGCTGACCTCAGCCTCTAACCCCGTCTGAGCCGATCGGCTGGACAAACACAGGGGGGAGATCAAAGGCAGAATGCGGAAAGTCTCCAAAGGGAGAGAGTGAAAGGAGGGGAAAAAAATGCCCGGCCCATGGAGCCGAATTCCTGCAGGATGAGAAAACAGCCAGAGCCTGTTGCCCGCCCCGGGCCTGCGGGTGGGAGGCAGCCGCAGCCCCCGGTCCCGCAGCATCTCCCGCTGCAGCGCGGGGCGTCGCGGCAGCGCCGTGGGGCCACGACCCCCATCTCAGGCCCACGTTCCCTCAGCTCCTGCCGGCCGTCCAGGGCCCCACGAGCGCCCAGGTTTGTAGCCAGCCCCCGTCCCCGCTCCAGCAAGCAAATGCCGATGATTTACAGCCAGGCTTTGAGACCTGCCGTGCACTCCGAGCGGTGGAGCGCCTGAAGGCAGCGCCTGGCCGTGCCAGACCGCGGCTGGACACTGCAACCCCACCTCTGCTCATAGAGCACCTCCGAAGCCGGCCCTAAGCTGGCAGGAGTCGGCCCCGCTCCCAGCCAGACTGCCCTAATCCCCGCTGGAGACGGACCTGGGTGCGGGGGGGGGGAGCGTTAACTCCTGCGGCGCTGCTGACCGCGGCCCCGCGCCTTTGTCCCAGCGCAGCCCGGAGCCTCAGGAGCACAGAAACCCGCACAGCCGCGCACAACCCGGCCGCGCTCCCTCCCCTGGGTTCCCGTCCGTCTGAGCCGTGCCAGGAGCCGCTGCGCGGGCAGGGAGCCGAGCGGGGCCGGCTCGGGCGGCACGAGGAGCAGCCGCAGCCCCCCAGCGGGAACACGGCGCTGCGGAGGGTCGGGATGTGGCCGGGGGGGATAAAGCGCAGTGCTGAGCCGGCCCTGAGCACGCGGGAGAGGTTACGCTGCCCTGGGACGGCGGCGGGCAGGATGGGATTTTGCAAACAGGGACTTGGTTGCGTCAGAGCAGCCCAACCTGAGAGGTGGCACCGCGGCCTGCAGCTCAGCCCCATGCGCACAGTGGAGAACCCCCCCGTGCCGCCCTCAAAGCACACGCTGCAGAGTTCCCCGTCGTACATCCAGCTCTGCACCCATCCTCCGGGGCACCGGCACAGCCCCCCTCCGCCCTTAGGGCAGAAGCAGCGATCCTCCCCCACGTGATAAACCTTTTCCACGTGAAGGCGCTGTCACAGCTTCTGCCTTTCCAGCACCCCCCGTTCTGCGCACTGAGGTGCAGTAAGGATGGCTCCCACCATCATTTCCCCCGCCTGAAGCCAACACAGCCGCTTCCAAGTGGGGCAGTGAGAAGGAGGAGCATGGAGAACAAAAAGCTCTCCGTGCCTCTTCCCCAGGCAGGCTTTTACCTTGTTCAGGGCTTTCCAGGCTGCAGCCGCTATCTGATTTCCCCCCAGCTCCCTCCCAGACTCAGCAATATCACACTTAAGCTGTTAAAACAAGCGTGGCCAGTCTGGTACGAAGTGGAAAATCTGATCCTGGGGCAGCGGGAGGGCAGGGAGAGAGGGAGGTCATGGGGAGGTGGGCTGAGAGCGGGACAGGGTGGGGGGCTCACCATGGCTGGGGGGGATGCACAGCCTCGCCGCCTCCCCGCGGCCATCAAAGCCGCTCCATGGGTCGGGATTCAGCAGGTCGTGCCCAGCTTGGGACACAACCTCCTCCTCCTCCTCCTCCCCAGCATCTCCCCCCAAAAGAGATACGACTCCTGCACCTCCTGCTTGGCAGTTCAAAACAAAAAAAGGCTTTAATTTATACAAAACAAACCCATGTATAATCAGTTGAACAACACTGACTGACTGTACAAAGGAATACAAAAATAAAAGGACAGTCCAAAAAAACCCCTCAGGAATGGTACAAGTGGTGGGGAGCAGCTACAGACTAGTGTTGACATCAGATGCAAGAACCTCTTTTCCTTTTAAATTAAAAAACAATAACAATAAACGGCCGAACAAACACTCCGGGTCCATCTTCCCTTCTCCACTCTTCTCGACTTACAGGAACAAAAAGAACATCAGCTTCGGGCAAAAGGAGCAGGAGGCGGCACAGGGACCGAAGCAGAACCGAGCGGAGGTGTGTGAGGGCAGGGATCCCGGGTGCCTGCAGGCAGGAGGCGGCCACGAGCGCCCCTCTCAGCGCCGGTGCGGCACCTGTCGGCTGTATGTCCTCAGCCTGCCAGGCTGCAGAGCCAGCGATTGTCTTCTGCCTCGTGTTAAGTGATGGCGAACAGGTGCCGGCCGTCTCAGACAGGTTCTGGAAATCCCTCCGTGCCGAAATCGGCGCCGCTTTGCTCTCGAGCCAAATCAGCACTACAAAGGATTCTTCTCCTCGCCTCGGCAAGGGCTTGAATTCTCTCCTCGCTCATTTGAGCCGAGCAATAAAGCGTGCCAGGGCCAAGCCCTGAACCCACCCCCCCCCGGCACCAGGCTTTGTTTTGCAGGGGGCTGCGTGCACCGAGGGGCATCAGCTCGGCAGCATCGCTGCGGCTTCATCCTGCCCCGCAGTGCGAGAGGGGCCCCGAGCCGCTGGCTGCGGGACAGAGCAGCGCTGCTCTCCTCCACGCGGGTGGCTCCCAGTGCTCACGGCGTGGCTGTCCCAGGGAATCCATCGGCACCGCTCAGTAACGCTGCCAGCCCCCAGCCTGGCAGCATTTCAGTCTCCAGGTGAACCGGCAGCACAAACAAGACGCTGCCGTGGGATGAAGCCGCAGACGCGCAGGCCCTTGCTTGACATCGCCCACACCGCGCACATCTCAGTGCAGCACGCGTCCTCCAAAGCACCGCAGCAGTCCCGCACCGCTGAGCCCTGGGCTCCCTCCTGTTTCCTGCCGCAGCCCTGAGCTGAGCACCACCCCCACGGGACATGCAGCCCCGCTCCAGCTCCTTCACGCTCCAGCAGGAAAAGCCGCTCGGTCCCTTCCCACCTTCATCCAGGAGGAGCCAGAGCTCGGCGGGATGCCTTCGGGAAAGCAGAGCAGGAGGCCAGGGCGCGGGGCCGACACGGGGCGGCGGTGCGAGGATCCAGGAGCGCACGGAGCGCGGCACGGCGGAGGTGGGGCTCCGGAAGGGATGGCCGAGACTTGCGCTGACGCAGGACGGTCCACGTCTTCCCTCTGCTCTGGACTCGGCTCCTCGGTCCCTGCTGGCTCTGCGTCCTCGTGATGAATGAGGCACCTGGGGGGCTTGGAGCCGCCGCTGCCTCGCATCAACCCCACACCTCCGCCTCTCCGCTCTGCCCCTCAGCTCTGCTTCGACCCCAGCCTGCCCCCGGCGCTCACACTTTATGGAATGATCAAAGTAAAGCAGCTTGGGGGGTATGGAATGCACCGATGGTTCCTTCCTTCTGTATATGCAGCATTCAAAAAACCTCCTATCGACCCACGCGGTGGGTCAGAGTCCCTCAAAGCATTTGTGTACTCTCATCTTCACGTCCTCCACTTTGCCCCTCTGGCTGCCACTGGTTAAATTAATCCCCTGCTTTATTTACATGGCTGCATAAAATTTTCCCTGACTGCTTCTTAAAAAAACACCTTACAAAACAAGTGATATATATATATATATATATGTATAATATTTACATAAAGAAAGGCAGAAGGCAAGCAGACTGCTTCCTTCAGCCTCCTCATGGCCAACTCCTGCCTTTTTCAGTTCAGCTTTCTTTTTTTTTTTGGCAACAGCAGGTTAACATCTTGGTGAAAACAGTCACTTATTTCCCTCTCCCCCCCCTCCCCCTTCTTTTTTTTAGTTTTATTTTTTAATTCCTCAACTACATCCAACAGCCACTATTGCACCAGCAATTCGCTCAGGACTCCAAGAGTTAAAGCCGCAGCACAGATTCTCCTTGCCTACTCCCTTAAGCCTCTCAATCTGCCATTAAATCCATTTCTCCATCGAAACGGGATGAGCTTTTTTTCCCCCCATTTCTCCCCCCCTTCCCCAACCTGGCAGCTGCTGAATTTTCCACCCCAGGCCGAGAGGTGAAGCCCAAAGCATTCCCAGAAGGTCACCTGGCAGAGTCCTCTCCCCCTGCAGCCGGCAGCACGCTTCACACCCGGGGCCAAAGCAGAGCACATCCCTGATGCCTGCGTGCAGCGCGGGGAAAGCAGCCGAGGCCCATCCTAAAGGATCCTTGCAAAGGGTGCAGAGTGCAAACATCTGTACATGGGCGTGCGGGAGCACGTGGAGCTCACGGCGCCCGTCCTGCTAAGAGATCTTGCAGTTGTTGCGTGAGCAGTTCTGGGGGGGGCTCTGGGGCGGCCGAATGGATTTGGATCTCTTCAGGCTGTTGCCTTTGCTGCTGCTGCCTCCCCCGCTGCTGGCCAGGGAGTAGGAGCGGCCGTGCATCATCACCGCGTTCATCCCGTTGGCCATGGAGAAGGATTTCAGGTGGCTCTTGATGGTGACGGGCAGCGGCAGCTTGTCGATGAGGTGCACGGGGGTGCAGGAGACGATGGCGCGGCAGCACAGGTCCTGCAGGCTGAACACTGCGGGGAGGAGAGAGCGGACAGTCAGAGCTGATGCGGCGCAAGGCTGCCTTCTTCCTACACCTCTTTATGCCGTGCAGCTCTTGCTGGTCAGGGGAGAAGAGCTAATGGCAACTCCATGGGAGCCACGAGCAGAGGCACGGAATCATCTGTGTTGGAAGAGACCTTTCAAGATCATCTGGTCCAGCTGCCCTGCAATGAACAGGGACGCCTACAGCTCCATCAGGCGGCTCCAGCCTGACCCCGAGCATCTCCAGGGACAGGGCACCACCAGCTCTCTGTGCAACCTGCATCAGTGCTTCACCAAATTACATTTGTAAGAACAACAACCTGGGAATAAAGGCCTCCCAGGCTGCAGCTGAGTGCTGCAAGCCAGCACAAGTCCGCAAGACATCAGCTTTGGTGCCAGCACTGGGCTCAGGCAGCACTGTCTCTCTGCTTGGTGCAGCCCTGCTCATGGTCCCACTTCCCAGTCACCATTTGGCCCCAAGGAGAGATCTGGGAAGGAGGCAACGTAGCCAGCCCTGCTGCAGG